TATATATATATATATATATATATTTTTTTTTTTTTTTTTTTTTAAAGTATATTTATAAAAAAAAAATGAAATGAAGTGAAGGTCCTGACATTGATATTTGTAGTGAGTGCCAAATCAGCATATGAAGTGAATGTACACAGTGTATGTATGAAGTCCTTGATATTGGTGTAAGTAAAGTGACATATGCAATAAGGCTAGTAAAAAAATATATATATCAACGGTAGTGTAATATAAGCAGCAGTGCGAATATAAACAGTGTGAATGTAAACAGTAGTGTGAATGTAAACAGTAGTGTGAATATGAACAGTAGTTTGAATATGAACAGTAGTTTGAATATGAACAGTAGTTTGAATATGAACAGTAGTTTGAATATTAACAGTAGTTTGAATATGAACAGTAGTTTGAATATGAACAGTAGTTTGAATATTAACAGTAGTTTGAATATGAACAGTAGTTTGAATATTAACAGTAGTTTGAATATGAACAGTAGTTTGAATATGAACAGTAGTTTGAATATGAACAGTAGTTTGAATATTAACAGTTGTTTGAATATGAACAGTAGTTTGAATATTAACAGTAGTTTGAATATGAACAGTAGTTTGAATATGAACAGTAGTTTGAATATTAACAGTAGTTTGAATATGAACAGTAGTTTGAATATTAACAGTAGCTAGAAGAGAGCTGAAAGTAACCATGTTCCTCTCATACTTGCTGAAGGATGCATCCACGGGGCCACTCCATTCATTTTTAACAGGAAAAACATGGCCGACAAAGCTAAACGTTGCAAAAAGTAAAAACTGTGCAAATAGCAAAAGTCACAGCAGGACTGTCCTGAACGAGCCGAACGTTTTGATTTATGAATTGTTGAAATAGCACAAACATTGTGGAACAAGTTACAAGATGAAAGACGTGCAGAAGAGAAACGGATGTGAAGGATGAGAATGAGCCATGAGATATTTTGCTAACAGACAGACGCATGCACTTGCAGGTGATGAACATGTGTTTTCAGCTAGAGTTTCCATCAGTAAGACACGTGTGTGGACATTCCTGCCTGCCTCTGTGCCACTAATAGCTCCTGGAGGGTTTCTGGTGCCGCTTCAGAAATAGATGAGTGAACAGAAGGATTTCAGGTTGTTTGACTGCGAGGAGATAATAAATGTAAAGCAGTCACTTTTATTTAACCTACTGCAACAAGGTAAGAGGAAATGTGTTGGAGGAGAAAATCCATACGCTGCAAAGATAAAAACATGTCTGCAGGCAGAAAACTGATTATTCTGTCCATATAATGAGCAAACCTGATTTAATTAAAACTTGGAGCCATTTTATTTATGTTCCTTTGGATAATAGAGCTGGAGAAAGACAGTGTGAACACAAGTGCATGTGTGCAGCTCCAGTCCAGTATGGTGCATGTAGATCGTTATCAGTACTTTTGTTTTCTGTATGTAAAGTGTTTAATACAGGGCTCAGGGGTCACATCATGTACTAACAGACAACAATACTGGGCTAAGGTCACGGCTGGACAAGAATAAATAACAGAAACATGGAATTAATGGGCTGAAACACTGGAACTGAGACAACAGTAGGTAATAAAACAGTTAGTGTCCAGTTTAAAGATGTGCATAAACATTGAAAGGAACATATTATTTGTGGACTAAATTATCTTCATGGTAAACTGAAGTTTTTCTCTTGTTGAGCTGGTTCTGGTTCCAACTTTACACTCAATTCACCCTCTGACAAAGAAAAACCTCATTTCAAGCAACATTTGTTTGTTTGTTTGTTTGTTTGTTTGTTTGTTTGGATGGATGGATGGATGGATGGATGGATGGATTGCTTAATGGATGGATGGATGGATGGATGGATTGCTGGATGGATGGATGGATGGATGGATTGCTGGATGGATGGATGGTTGGATGGATGGATGGATTGCTGGATGGATGGATGGATGGATGGATGGATGGATGGATGGATGGATGG